AGGTCTCAGTGTGAGAAAGATCTGTACGTAGGAAACCAGGTCTCAGGGTGAGAAACATCTGTACGTAGGAAACCAGGTCTCAGGGTGAGAAACATCTGTACGTAGGAAACCAGGTCTCAGTGTGAGAAACATCTGTACGTAGGAAACCAGGTCTCAGGGTGAGAAACATCTGTACGTAGGAAACCAGGTCTCAGTGTGAGAAACATCTGTACGTAGGAAACCAGGTCTCAGTGTGAGAAACATCTGTACGTAGGAAACCAGGTCTCAGTGTGAGAAACATCTGTACGTAGGAGACCAGGTCTCAGGGTGAGAAACATCTGTACGTAGGAAACCAGGTCTCAGGGTGAGAAACATCTGTACGTAGGAAACCAGGTCTCAGTGTGAGAAACATCTGTACGTAGGAAACCAGGTCTCAGTGTGAGAAACATCTGTACGTAGGAAACCAGGTCTCAGTGTGAGAAACATCTGTACGTAGGAAACCAGGTCTCAGTGTGAGAAACATCTGTACGTAGGAAACCAGGTCTCAGTGTGAGAAACATCTGTACGTAGGAAACCAGGTCTCAGTGTGAGAAACATCTGTACGTAGGAAATCAGGACTCAGTGCGAGAAACATCTGTACGTAGGAAACCAGGTCTCAGGGTGAGAAACATCTGTACGTAGGAAACCAGGTCTCAGTGTGAGAAACATCTGTACGTAGGAAACCAGGTCTCAGTGTGAGAAACATCTGTACGTAGGAAACCAGGTCTCAGGTGTGAGAAACATCTGTACGTAGGAAACCAGGTCTCAGTGTGAGAAACATCTGTACGTAGGAAACCAGGTCTCGGTGTGAAAACATCATGTACGTAGGGAAACCAGGCCATAATAAGAGATGCAATGAAAGTCAGTTCCTCAGCTCTCAGATCTGGAGTGGTTCTCTGTTTAAATGTATTAAAACGTCTCTCCGTGGTGCGGTTCAGTGTCTTTGTCCGGACTGGGAGAACTGGATCCCAGCCAGCCGTGGAGAACGCCCGGGAGGCCATGCAGCAGGCTGACGACCTGCTGGGCGTCCTCAGTAACACCAACCTTTATTTAACATTTAATCATCCATTCTATATTTTGAAATTCTCATGACCTCAACAGAACATGAATGACCTTTATGCACTTTAACAGAACACAAAACCATGGAGCATTTTAAAACCCAGAGAAATCTGCCCGGCAACTATATATAAGAAATCAAGGAATAAAAAAAAGGTGGGGATTCCTTTAAAACAAAAAAAAGATGAACATTAAGCTTTTATCCCTCCTTTTCCAAGAAAGGAGATTCTATCAGATACTCTTCTCGTGCTCAAATGCTCAATTTTATCTTAAAAACCGCCAAAGTTGGATTATTTAACATTTGAATTCTGCATTAAAAATATTGCCCTCTGTCTGAAACAGAGCTGCTCTGATTGGTTAGCTGGACGGCTCTGTTGTGTCTGATCAATCCAGCAAGAGATGGTCCCGCCCCTTTTATCCTAATCAGGTATAATGTGTTGGGAGCGTCAGGTGTTCCATAGTGATGTCCACCATGTTCCTGAAACTTTGGGATTCTAGCCTTCTGCAACCGTTAACATGCACTGACCACCTACAGATATAAGGGGCCTCCTTTAAGTGACGGCAGCACGACCTCGATGACGGACGAACTTTTACAAGACGTCAGAGTTTCCGTGTGTTGAGACTCTGTAATGATGATGAATGTGAATGTTAAAACAGATGTTTAATTATTCATATTTAACGAGAGCACGACTGAAATCTGTTAGTCTGACGTCTGCAGGCTCGGTAAACATTTTAAAAAGTACTAAAAAATACTCTTCTACTGAGAGATAACTGGGAGTGCAGAACAAACTTTTGAATGTACTGGAGTTGTATGGAATG